CGGCAAGATGGAGACGTGAAGGGAGTGTTCCTTCAAGATGTTGAACTTGCGGCCCAGAGACGGACATTCTTAGCTCCAAGATCCCCGTCGAAGGGCAATGACAAGGTGTGTGCCATGGCTGCTGCAGGAGACACAGAAGGGGAAAGCCTTAAGAGTGACTGGGAAGACTTCTGTGACAAGCAGGCCAGGATCGCGGCCGCCGATTTTGTCAAATCGTGGCGAGTGTTTGTGGCTCTTCAGGCTCAGTTCAGGGACCTGGAGCACAAGGAGCTGGCACAGAAGTTCGCCGAGCTGTTCCCGGCGCACCTGGAGAAGGCGCTGACGAGCCCGCCCAACGGAGTCAAGGTGCGCAACGGCGTCGGCGAGGCCAGCGACCCCAGGCCAGCCTCGGCCTCCAATCCAAGGGCAGCCTCGGCCACTAACCCAAGGTCAGCCTCGGCGGATGACCTCCTGGAGGCTGCAGCAGCGAGCGATGAAGGTGGCGAGTCCCCGTCCCCTCGCGTGGCACACAGACCCTTCTTCAGGAGGCTGTCTTTCAAGGGCCTCAAAAAGGGCAAGAGCATCTTCCTCAAGCAGCACTCAGATGAGGTGGAGCTCTCACCGCACCATGACAAGCAGTCCAAGAATGAGAGACACAAGGCGCGCACGGTAAAACTTGCGGTGGAGTGTGTTCGTGAGGGAACTGTGCACCTCCTTGCTGGTGACACTCAGGAAGGGCGCCCGCATTGGCTCAAGTGCCGCATGGCACTTGTCAAGGTTGCAGCTGGACATATGCTGGAATTTTATGCACCTCCTAAGGTATGTTAATGCTAATAATTTTTTGAAGTAATTATATTTACAATAACGTAGTGTGATGTCTATTGACTAGTTATATGAGAATTTTGGTCACGCATATACAGTAGGGAATTATGGCTCTGCCCATGTTAGGGTAGAGTACATGACTGACATGTAGGAATGCCTGATGCTGAGTCTGTCTGACACTCTCCTGCCATGAATGATGATCCTTTGTTTTCCCAGGGGGGAGTTGTGAAGTGTCACAGGAGAGGGATTGCAGACAATAGATAATATAGTGACTGACTCGCTGCTCTGATTACAGTCGAGTTGTGCATGCATAGCCAGTACTCCTGGAAAAATAGTCAGTAGATCAGTGGATATCGCATTACGATACCGTCAATGTAGCCACAGCCAATTTTTAAAGATTTCACACATTGTTCAATTTTCCACACTGTGATATGTGTGAATTTCTTGTTATTTTTTATTGCAGATGATATTAATGAAAGTATTGGTATTGTTTACAAAGTGACTGCACCCCTCTGAGACTCAGAGTTTCCCTCTGATTATGAAAATACCACAGATAACAAATGTCCGGTTTCTGTTGTTCTGTGCATTACAGGCAAAAGTTATCTTGTACCATATGGCTGTGATACTGAAACTTTACCATGATTTTAACCTTGAATGTAATATCCTTTGATCCTTCTGTATATTTACGTAATACTACTTCAAAGAGTAAGATATTTATTTATTGTTAGAAAAGTTGATACATAAATGAAATGCAAAAAGTGGATGATGTGAAAATGGTGTAATAATTATTATGTATATGAATTCTGCAGTTTGTAGTCTTGTTTTTCTTCTCTCACCTTGGAATGGTGTGTTATCCCAAAGCAATTCCTACCGACGTATCTGCCCCATAAGATTTGATAGATAGCACTGTTTACTGGTAAACAATATAGACTACATTATCAATTTGAAATGACTTAGTGTCTGAAGGTAGTGATAACCCCTAATCAAAACTTGCTTATTTATTAGATTGTATATTTTCTTTTTTGTGTATATATTTATTCAATATTTATATGAAGCAAAGAAGAGAATGCAGTTTCAGCTAATACTTCTTTACAGTCTTTTTGGGTTAGTGTGAATATCAGTATATTATGGAAATTGAAGGGTAAACAAGCCAAAACCGTATTCATGTCTGTGACGCTTTGTTGCTGATGTGAGATTCAATGTATTATATATTGGTGTACAGAAAATCTACAAACAGGTGTTAAGAGTTGACATGGGTGTTCCATAGTCACTGTAATCATATACTGTTTTTTTAGGCTATTTTTCTTTATGAAGTAGAGAGTTTATTCTTTTCATAAGTTTTAAGAAAATGACTTATAATGGAGATTGCATAGAAAGATGTTTCTTTGGGGGATCTTTGAACTTGGGTTTCATCTACTAACATAGAAAGATATTTCTTAGAGGATCTCTGAACTTGGGTTTGACATTATACTAACAACATTAAAATCATACCCGTAAGAGACAATGGAAATACTGTGTATCTTTGCAAATGTGATTATGAAATCAGTACTGATACTTTAACAAAAAATAAGAATATTAGGTGGCTGGATAGTTGAAGAAGAGTACCACCCAAGTCTTATTAGGAGTACTTATTTAAAAGACCCTCAGGATATGTCATTCTCTGTAAGGTATGGCTTTTATTATCAGTTAATCTATTGACTGGGCCAGTTCTGGAAAAAAACAACTTTTGAAGGTATCAAGCTTAGGTAAATAGATAGGAAAACAATTTATTTGTTAACATTTCTGATGCTTCTTTGCATTACCATTGCTCATTCCTCATTTCTCTGCATTCTCATTTCATAAAGTTGTTGTGTAATCTAAATGGTCTTATATAGTTACAATAAGGGTATTAGATGCTGGAAAAAATACTTCAGATGTTGCAAAATAATCATTGATCCTCCCTTTTTCAGAGTATGAAGCCTCGTACTGGTGTATTTTGCATATCAATCAATGAAGCAAGAGAGACGACAGACCTAGAAATGCCTGACTTGAGAAACACATTTGTTATCAAGGTGAGTTGGACTGAATCACATGTTTTTATTCATTTTTCAGGAGAGAATCAGGGAATGGACTATGCTATGATGATGAAATTTGTAAACACTACTCTTCAATACCACCTTGCAAGCCACTGGATTTGATCAGTTTCAGAGACATACCAATTTGGTAGAGAGTATATATATTTTATTGGCAAATATTGGCATAGTAATACTATTATATTAAGCGAATTGAACACAAACAAACAAACAACTAATTTGCTTCGTCACTTTCACATTGAGCTTAACATCTACAGATGGCTAAACCTACCTGATGGGGCCATATGACCTAATCTGAACTGGGCATCTCCAGTCCCTCTACTTCACCTTCACCTTACATCCTAACCCTGCCTGACCTACTGTACACCCTGCCTGCAAGATCCGACCCGACCTGCCCTTGATGTTTCGGACCACTCTTGTGTAGTTTGGCATTAATCAAGTGATTGCTAACACTTCTCGAGAATATTTCATTGCCTCTCAACCAAAGTACATAATGAGGAAATTGCTGCATGGCAAAGAAGGAAGGGAAATGGCTTTGTCATTGTATAGAGTTTTGGAACAGATGTGATACAATCAGGATCCATAGGAATCTCTGGATCACTGAAGTCTAGTAGTGGATATTTTACCATAAATAGTTTTTTAAAAAGTTAAATGTTGATCTGTCTTTGCCACTGACATCTGTGGCTTATTATAGACTGATTGTCTGTGCAGGTGAATGGATTCTGCAATGTGTAGCTTAGTTTGCTTTATATAACATGAAAGATATAACATTGTAGGATGTTACTATATAGAATAGTGGAATCTTTTATTTAAGGAAGGTAATAATGTAAGACACAGATATAACTATAATTATGGAAACTAAATATTAGATAAGATACTTATTTGGACAAGTTTTTAGATACTGTACATGAAATTTCACTATACAAGGGGTAATACGAAAACTACTAATACAGCACAGATGAATAATAGAATGATAGTTGCAGTTTTAGTTGAAGGTCATGATCAAGTGTTCTCTTTTCCAGGCGGATAGTGGGAATGAGTGGGTAGTTGAGGCTCAGGATCAGGAAGACATGAAAACATGGCTTACTACCATTGTAGCTTATTGCTGCTCAAATGAAAAAGAACAGTAAGTGCTTGCGTGGAGTCTGTTTTCTTTTTTTTTGTGTATGTCAATTACTGATTATATTCTCCTCAAAGGAAATTAGTTGATAAAGAATCAACTGTTGATGTATAAATGTTTCTTTTTGGTTTATTTCTTTTTTTGTAGATAATCTTTTATTCCCAAAGATATACTGAAATAAGTTTTAGAGAATGTAAAAGGTTACAGTACAGGAAAGAGTGTGATATCAGTTACTGCTTTAGTAATGTTATGTTATATAAGTATTTCTTAGCATTTGATTTAGATAGTTCCATTAATGATTATTATTTTAATTATTGTATTTGTGTATTTGTTTTGACATAAGATGTCCTTTCATTATATTTGGAAATACTTGATAAGTTTTGTGTAACTGCTATCATGTTACAAATATCCATTCAGCCTCAAAATAGGATTTGAAAGAGGTATTTAGCTATTGAGATATTGAGCAAATAATGGCATGGATTATATTTTATGTGTATTAATGACACATCTATAATATCTTTCACATAGGTCAAAGAATTATGAACTGCGGCCTGCAATGTACAGCGTGAAGAATGAGTCTTCACAGTCCCTGTCAGCTGCAGTCCCTGGAGGTGGAGGGGGAGGAGGGGGAAGTGGAGGAGGTGGAGGAGGAGGAGGAGGAGGAGGAAGCGGGGGCGGAGGAGGAGGTGGCAGTGGTGGTGGCAGTGGTGGGGGAGGGGAGACTGCCGAGGCCCGACCAGAGCACCCACCAGACTTGCCTCCCAGAATTCCAGGCACTACCTCACCCATCTCACAACAGGCAGGAAAACTTTTTTTTTTTTTATCAGTATAGATGCTGTTATAATTTTCTGTAGTGCAGTCTTTCTTCTGTGATTCATTCTATGATATTATTAATAGGTTTTGTTTCATATATGTCTAAGCATTATCATAATATTGAACTTTATGTATTTACTTGTGTAACTGGAAGCTTTGTTACCCATTAAAAGCACTTTTGTAATGGTGAATGTCTGTGGGCATTTCCTGGAAAAGAATTACTTGTGATAAATTACCAGTATAATGATAGTGGAAAACTTGTGATTATGCCAGAGTTAAATTTTGTAAGATCTTGCATGTTATTCAAGTCATATAAATAAGAAGGTAGTCTATCACAGTTTTATAGTTTTGCAGTTAGATTAACTTTCTCTCCATGAAACCTGCAGGCAAGTGGCATTGTAGCAAGACAGAACAACCTCACAACACACACAAGATCTCAGAATGGTCTGGGTGATTACTCCAATGAGGAAAATGGTGAGTATCAGTAGCCTGTCCTTTGATTTTGTTCCTCATTAATGATTACCTTCATAACTATATTGCTATTGTTTTATTATTAATATTATTATTATTATTATTATTATTATTATTATTATTATTATTATTATTATTATTATTATTATTATTATTATTATTATTATTATTGTTGTTGTTGTTGTTGTTGTTGTTGCTATTGTTATTGTTATTGTGATTGTTATTGTGATTGTTATTGTGATTGTTATTGTTATGGTTATTATTATTGATATAGAAGCTGAAAATCAAGTTTCAGGTTTGTTATGTTTGTGCATAAAAAATAGGTAAAAATTCACAAATTGTAATCTCTATATTTGGAAAAACTTGTTTGGCTATTTTGGAAGATTCATTGCAGCATAAAAGAGAAGGACTTGAAACAAATCTTTATACGGCCTTATAGAATTTTAAGTGTATTGTGGAAATATGTCACAAAACTTTATTGGAAAACTAAACTAAAAGAAGGGAAATCATAGTGATGGTATCCTTTCTAGACAAATCTCAATATCATTTGTTTGCAAAACAAACTATTAAAAAAATGTACTAGAAGTATCATTTGAGACAGTATTGGAGAGAAGGAAAAAAAACTCGGGATCTGTACATTGTAAGATTTTGTGCAAGAATCTGCCAAGGCTAAGTAGCTGTTGTTCTTGTTATTATTGTTATTTTTTATGTTTTTGTGCTTTAGGTTCCAGCAATAGTACATTGGGTTAATATGTATGATTTGTTTTTATTATTTTGTTTTATTTAATGTCACTATTGTTATTATCATTTCCTAAGCAGTACTATTTAACATCAAACTGATATTTTTAATAATACAGAATACTGATTTCATTTTTAAGGGTAGACCCTCAGTTTAGGCTGTTGCATGAATGTAGGAGTTAGGTGGAAGATGTGTGTGTAAGACATGCAGGAAGCCCTATGTTGTGAAATATTTTTGAGAAGAAAGAAGTGTTTTTTGAAGAAAAAAAATGGATGAATGTCTTTTTGGTTGAATGTTAGTTGGTAAGAAATGGGAAGAACTACTGACTTCTACAGTTTGTTTTTTTCTCATGCATTTGATATTTGATTGCATCCTTAGATTTTTTATTGTCTTTGTATCTGTGATTTTTTTTTCTGAAACTAAGAGTGGCAGGTAAAACTATATTTTTTCTGCTCTTCCTTTTTTTTAACTGTTGGACATGTTATGCCATATATGTTTTGATGGGAAGAGATCTGGAATGTAGCATCTCTGTAAAATGTTTGAAATGATTACTGATTGATTGGGTTTCATTTTTACATGAGGGAAATAGGCATTGGTTTTGATAACATGCATTACTCACTTTGTCTTGAAGAGACTTGTTCACTTCTCAAAGTGCAACTGTTGCTTTGATACTTGAAACTGTCAGCCAGTTTGTAATTCATATAACCAAAACAACTGCTAACTGCCGTCACTAGGGAATGGCTCAAAACTGCTCACCATGACATTATCAAATATATTGTTGGATAACTTACTTAGTATTGTCAAGTGATTCTAAGAAAAGTATCACTATACCAAATCATATTATACTTTGTTGTACTGTACCATAAAATACCTTACTTCATCATGCAACAATTCTTCTGTTGAGTGTTTTTTCTACAATATTCTGTATGCTTAATGGACATTAGAAGGAAAGAAGTGTGTGAGAAAGTTGAGTGTTTTTAATGCCTTTTTAGAATTATATTTTACTGATCAAAATGAGGAAAGAATTCCAAAAGGCAAGTAACTCTTTAAGACAACTTTTACTCTAAGATTTACATATATATTCAGTTATCCTTTTTGACCCCATCTTCTCCTTCTCCTTTTCTTTCCATCATACCCACAATACCTTCTCTCTCTCCATCTCTCTCTCTGCCTCCTTCTCCTGCCTCTTCCTTTTCCACCCTGCCCTCAGTTTCATAGAACGTAACTAATTAACAAAAGTGCAATAAGATGTTAACTAAACATCACCAGTGCTTCCTTTAACACACTTCAGATGCTTCTCAGTTTGCCATTTGAACACTTTCTCAAGAACTGGAAATTGGAAGAAATAGTAAACCTTGAGCCCTCATCCAACCTTTGCTAAAACACTTCTCCCTCACCCCCTAGTCAACATACCTACGGATGTGGACTTTTACTCAAGCCTCCGGGACTATCCCTGGTTCCATGGCACTTTGTCCCGCTGTGATGCTGCCTCAGCTGTCCTTCAGGAGGCTGTGGCTGGCCATGGGGTATTCCTCGTGAGACAAAGTGAGACGCGGAAAGGGGAGTATGTCCTTACCTTCAACTACCAGGGAAGAGCAAAGGTAAGTGGCAATGCTACTAAACTGGAAGTGGGCTCTAAATGTAGTATTTGGTAGAAATAATTATTGGATTAGTGTACCTGTTATTTGTGTATGTGAGTAGTGTATGTGTTATTTGTGTAAGTTTGTGTGTATATGTACATGTGCAGAATTTTTACACAAATGAATGAGTTTTGTCTGTACCTCTGACTGTTTTTATGGTGTTTCTCTGTGTCTAAGAGTCTGTATTTACCTGCATATAATGGAAAAGGTGATTTTTACAATGAAATGTTGTTTATTTTATATTATGTGCTTTTTATTGTTTACATCAGATGATTATTTGTGACATGGCACTGCCAAATGAGTCAAAAGTTGCAAGGCTCCAATATGTAGAAAAGGTTTTAAAAAGCACTTTAACATCTTGAAGTGTGATTATTACAAGTTTATTCATGATAAAAGCATCTAGGGCTGAGTTTTCTGGGTGCAGGATTGGCATGGTTATTTGATTCTATGATTTAATCATTATGTTAATTGATAAGCCTGATTAGCTGGAAATGGGACAGTGTGGTATTGTAACAATATTGACAGTTACCCGCTCTACCTAATTTCTGATCTGTGTGTGAACTTTACGTGTACATTACAAAGGTGTTTCTATCAAGCATTGTTCTAACAGTGTATAAAACTTTAACTTCCTTTATCTGAAGACTGTGACTAGAAAAATTCCCACATTTCTTAACATTCTGCCTCCCATAACAACTCATCTGATTCAATTCATCTGGGTACTGTTGGAAAGCTGATGCTCTGTGAAATGCAGGAGTGCCATCTGATTTTCTGTAGAATACAGCGGTGCCATCAGCTGGAAAACTTCACCTGGCAACTTCAGTCTCATTTGGTGGTGCTGGGTCACAATTTAGGAATTTGAGTATTTTAATGAACTCCGTTTTAGTAAGTGTAATGTTCCTCTCAAGATAGTCCATTTAACCCAATGGCGCCGGGTGTACAAAAAAAAAACAAAAAAACTATACGCTTAAACAAACAAAGGCGGTGCGCCGACTTTGAGCGCGTGAGTAGGGGACATCAGCCCGAATCACTGGCTCGCCGCGCTTTGGCGCGCCGCCGGCTCGTTCAGCTGCACGCCAGCTTTCGAGCTCTTTGTGTACACACCGATCGGCGTCACCCGGCACCAAGGGGTTAAACAAGAAGAAAATAGAAATTGTTAATATCAAGATATATATTTCAGCTCATCTAACATAGATTGATAAAGACCCTAGATCACTGAGAGTAAAAGCACAGTTTAAAATCCTCCTAATATTTAATATAATCTTGCTTGTTGTGCAACCTTCAACCTGAGTGACAACCCCATTACCTCTTACAGCACCTTAGGATGACCATTAATCCAGACGGTGCATGTCGCGTGCAACACCTCTCCTTTGCAACCATATTTGACCTGCTCGAGTACTTCCGTGACAACCACATCCCATTGGAGTCTGGCGGCACTTCGGATGTCACGCTTTCTGAGTTTGTCATTGCGGCAGACTATTCGGCGCGGAACCAGGGAACAGGCCAAGCGGGAACGGACCGCAGGGCACCCAATCTGCCTGATACCAGAGAGGTAATTTTTTTTTTTGTGTGTGTGTACAAGTAGTTTTTGAAAGTAGTGTTTTTTATGATACTGCAAACATTAATATTTCTCTAATGACATCTTTGTAGATATTGATATATAAGTAGACCAATAGCAGATTGATTTTAATAACCTAGAATAAATTATTTTTATGAATTTTGCAGGTCACTACTCATGGTGGATCTGTACGCATGACAACTGCAGCTTTAGAAAGACTGCAGTATGAACAAAGCAATTCAGGTGGGTCAACAGGACGTGCTGTGGAGAACACTTACACGTATACTTAAAGCCATGCTCTTGATTTAGAGGTGATAAAAGCACAAGAAAAGAAGTTGACATCAAGCAATGTGTTGAGTTGGAGATGCTTGTTGCTGGGAAGTTTGAAATTGAAGCTCAATTTCAGAGGCCTTTTTTACAGATTTTATTCACTGTAAGAACTGGGCTGAAGAAGTTTATCAATATTTTTTCCCCTTTTACCCTATGTTTGATTTTATGAGGGTATACTTTCAAGCTGAGATTATTAATTACATGTATTTAATTCAGGGCAGTATCTGAAGGAAGTTCATGGTAACTTTCTTTTTTGAAAATTAATAGAACATTCTAAAAAGTTCTTTTCATTATTTTGGATTTAACTGAATATGAAATTGATTTTATATATGTTGTGCCATTTGTTTTCATAGCAATGCTTAATTTGTAGATTGACAAAGGAATCAAAGACTTTGCTCTCTAGATCATTTTTGTAACCTTGATGGATATGATATCAAAATCATAAATATCCTTACCAATACTCCATGATTTATTTTAGGTATCACTTTTTTTTCAAAGAACTTTATAAATAAGGTTGTGGATAGTTAGATTTTTGACTTGTAACACTCCATGACATGCTGGAAAGATGTCCACTGTAGAAATTCCAAACTGTGGCAACTTTTCCTAATATGCAAGACGGGTGGAGGAATGAGCTGGAGGTCGACCTAGATGTTTGTAAAACTGATATGTATTTTGGAGCATGTTTCATTTATCACCTGGCTGAGAACCACCTCAATTGATGTGATTATAAAATGCCTCTGATATACCACATGCAGTGTTTCATCAGACCCACTGTGATTCGGATAGGATTATGCAATTCTTCATTCACTCAAAAAATATGTTGGTTTCATAATACCAAAGTTAAGATCAGACTTTGAAGACACTGATTATTTGACATCATTTTTATTAGTGATGAATATCTCCTGATAAGTTCCGAGGGATAGTTTCCAGTGCTTAAAAATGCACAGAGGGTAGTTTACGGTCATTTGCTATTTTTGTTATTGATCTTAATGAGATAGCATCCAGCAACTGGTAATGATTGCTGGCATTTAAATTAGGAGATGTTTGTGCTTTATGAACCATTTGCCATATGAGAATGGAGCAGTCAGCAGTTTAATTTACAGTATGTTGTATTCCATGTTATTAGGTAATTATGTTTGTGTGATTAGATATAGTTGTAAAGAGGAATGCCGTTAAGAATGTAGTTGACATTAACATATACCATGTGAGATGCATGCTTGAACCCCAGTTACATAGGCTTAAGCTGTGTATGTCAGAAAGCAGGTCACTCCTCCACCCATTTGATTGCAATTAGGAGATATTTTTGGGCTTTGGAGATCCAATGTCCCTCTTTTTGTTAACATGATCAGAAGACTTTTCAAGTTCCAATTTTGAGAATGTAAACAAAGGCATTACTGTATAAGGCTGATATAATAGTATTATTGTTTGCTTGTGTGTGAGCATTCTTAGTTATTCTGTTTTTATTTATTTATTTATTTTATAGAAAAATAATGTGAAGTACTTACTGATCATTAAGGTGATGGGAAGATGTTTCCAAAG